TGGAAAACAGTCATACCTTATGGATAGGCAATCCAAGACTGTCATTTACTAATCTTATATATTATTAAAACCATTGAAAGACTATTGTCGAACAAGAAGAAATAAATATAAAAAAAAGGCCCTCAAAACCAAAGGGCATTAGGGCCAAATACGAGTTTGTCTGTCGAAAAATCTCCGTTTTATTACGTACAATACTTCCCATTACACCCCAGCATCTACTTCTTAAGTAGTATGTGAGAAAGTAAAAAGACTTGCTCTTTCTGATATTATTTGATTATTATCTACGTTTGGGTTCATTCTACAGGAGCTAGTTTGAAGTTCTCTTACAGTCAGTAGATCGTCAGAACAAGAATAATATACAATTCGTTTTACGCACTTGTCTGGAGGGGAATTCTAGCGACCGACTGCTCTGATCAGAAGTTTCGCGTGCTTTTTCCAATCAATATCAGGTGAATACCGGCGCAGTACCACTACAAAGGAGCCACGGATTGAACGCGACCTTTGTCTCATCATCCGTGTCCCTTCTTCTCCCCTTTCGCAATCTCACTTACACTTACATTCAGCTATACAATCGCACATGGCGATTGACCAGTCGGGTGTTTACAGCTTGTCCCGGCCCGGGGATCGCCAGCCGACGGAGGTATCTAGAGCGAAAAAAATCTGATATTCATGGGTGGATCCAGAGACGAATTTTGGGAGGGGAAATTCAAAATGTTTTCGTCGAACGTCATATTACAGATTTTGTAAAATGTCGCAGGCTACCCTCAGCTCATGCTGCGATACGATTTTATTCGTTTTAGTGGTAAACCGAGAAAATTGAAAGTCTTGTAATAAGTTATAATTAATAGTTTCTGAAAAATGTTAGGGGGAGGGGATTTCCCTCATTTTCCTCCCCGTGCATGCGCGCCTGCAATATTCGATGTGTAAGTTTGCGCCTGAACTCATGCTTCAGTGGGAGAAGAACACTGCCGCCTCCCGAAATATAACAAAACACTGTATTTTTGGCAGTAATTATCATAGCAGTTGGTGGACCCAGACACATGAAATAATCAATGTACTCCGCATTACCTCTGAAACATTCCATACTCATTGTTTGTTGGTGATGCCAAGCTTTTAATGTCAAACGGCACGTGCGCGGGGATTTCGCGCAAGGGATTCCTCTTGTGGGCGACACTGCACCTCATTCTGCATTGGTCAGCTTCATCGTGCACCCAAGCTATTCAACCTTAAAGTTTTAAATATATTTGAGCCGTGCTCTGTAGACAAATACATAACCTCTCCTTAGTAACAGGTGTAATGGCCTTTGAAGCTTTGTTTGAGATTCTGAATAACGCTTTTGTACGCAGCGATTGAAATCAAGGAAAGTGTTGAAACTTTTTATCTATTAAACTTAGTAATTCTCGTATACTGAGTCTTATAGCGATGTTCCAGACTGTGCATAGGATCTCCTCTTAATTTCTGAATCTGAGAATAGAGGATCTTCTTTCAGGGAATGATTACAAGTACAGGAAAATTAAGAATACCTTCTCTTGTAACATGCTTAAATGGAACAGAGCATCAATTGATGTCACTGCAGTGCCTCTGACCGGGAGGTCCTAGGCTTCGAGCCCCGACTGCGGCAGGATTTTCGACACTACCTAAATAGCTAGGTCGAATTCAGCCATCTTGCTATCTGGAGAAAAATTCTAGCTCAGGAAATTCCGATCGGTAGTTTTGTATTGTTTCTCCGATCGACGCCAGGTGAATGCTGAAGCAGTTCCGTGAGAAAAGGACCACATACCTTCTGTGATCTTTCCTTCCCCTTTTTTGTCCTCTCCTCTCGCGTTACTTACATAACCCACTACCTCACTTGCCGGGAGACTGGTCGGGAGCTTAGAACTTGTCCAGGCTTTTTGGGAGATGCCTAGTTGGGGTAAATCGCGCAAGCTGACGTGTAGTTTGGTGCCTGATCTCGCCATTAATTATCGTATAAGACAAAAAATACGGTTCTTCAGAGAAAATATTCCTTGTAACAGACATTTCCTATGATACGAACGATTTTAGGGTTTGTATTCGTTCGGGTCCGTTGAAACTTTTCGTTAACAGAGCTTCTTTTTTTTTTAGATACACCGAAAAAAAACTATTTCGGGGTAGTTTGGTAGATTGCAATTTTTCCTACAATTTATCGTGCTCTATCGTCTAAAGTGTTCATCTGCCGAAATATATTTATGGAACACACATCGTACTATAGTTGTACCAAATGTAATAATACACATTTGTGAACAGGAACATCTTTCTATAGAAGTGCGATTATTAAGTTTTAAGAGTAAAACCGCTAAAAGAGCTATTTGAAGATTTTCTCGGACTCACATTTACGGCGTAGTAATGACGAAATTCACATTCACCATCCCCCAAACCTACAGAATTAAAGGGAAAAAAACTTCCATATTTTCCATTTTTTAAAAGACTATAAGACATATTTTGAATTTTAAAAGTGCTGAACATATAACAACATGGAAAGTTCTTCTTCGTGGTGTCAATAAGTAAACTGCCAACCTCCAGTAATGCAATGCTGATGCAATTTATACTATTTAATATCAAGCGTCAATTTTCTCTTTAGTTATTTTTTAATCATCTCGGTAGTAACTTAATGTGCTCATTTGCTTGATCGATTGCTTAGTGATTCCGGGCGCGTCAACTACCAAGGTTATTAGTCCCGTAAGTGTAATAAATGTTTTTTTGCTCGGGAGGTGAAGGTGGTCCCCGTTGTATGACACGATCCGGCTCCGACCTACTGTCGGCTAGCGGGGCACCGAGGCGGGACAAGCTCTTTGCTCCTGAAGGGTCTCCCGGCATGTGTGATAGTGTAGTGCGTGTTAGTGTAATTGTGTGTGTAAGGGGTGAGGACAGGACAAGAAAGAGGAAGGTGAGATCGCGCACGCGCGCGCGGTCCGTTTGTTACGGTACTGCTCCGGCATTCGGTTGGTGTTGATTGGAGAAACCACGGAAAACTACCGATCAGAGCAGCCGGCCGCTAGAATTTTCTTCCGGACAGTGACTAAATTCAACCCAGCTAACAAGCTCATGTCGAAAATCCTGCCAAACAAAAATTAGTGGTGTCACAGAATGAGGCAGACTCTCCTGTTTTTAGTTTTATATTTCCTTTGGCCTCTGCTTAACTTTTCATATACTCTTGCCAGCTACCATCTATTGCCACCCAAAGTACACTTTTTGAAATTTTCTAAATATTTCGGTTTTCTAAAATAGAACAAAAATATTATTTTAAGAATAATAAAGAACAGTAAAACCTCGTCTAAATGGCAATTTTCTTTGAAACATTTGCAGCTATTTCTAAGAAAATGGTTTTTAAATGCTACTGTAAATTCGAAATTTGAAGCTCTTTCTCACAGAAAATATTTGAGTTTTTGAAAATCTTCATTAGAAATCATTTAAAGCACTTTAACTCAAAATACAATAGTGTTTACAAATTACTGAATATGTGCACATTAATGGCGTGAGGGATCTTTCAAAAACATTACATTTTATCAATTTTAAAAAAACAACAAAAATACCCAAAACGAACTTTACATCATATTAAAGGGTGCAATAAGCACTATCTGTTCGAAAAGTTTGAAGAAAAAATTTGGAGCCGTTTTTTGTGAAAATGGGGTTTTAGCATTTCTAAAAATGCAGAATTTAAGGCTAGTTTCCTTGAAAACTGTTTAGTTTTCAAGAAACTTTAAATGACGTTATGAAAACCACATGTACTTATAAATACAATAATGTGAACAAATCACCGCTAATGTAAATATTAACGACATTACATCCATGATAAAAAATACATTTTTTTATTTTAGTAGTTTTCATATTATTTTAGAAGAATTTTCTTTTTAGATTTTGCGCAATATTGCATGCAATTTGTGCAATTTCATTAATTTCAAAAACAAGATTTTCTTATAAACGGCTTCAATTTTTTCTTTATACTTTTGGTAGGGATTGAGCTAAATGCACTCTGTAAGATTACATAAACGCTTGCTTTAAACAATAGCAACTAAAGTTTCTCAAAACGCAACCTTTGTGTGAAAACTAGCTCAAAACAGCATTTTCAGAAATACTCAAACAACATTTTCTCGAAAACCTCTCAACATTTTGTCTTAAACTTTTCAAACAGATAGTGCTAATTGCACTCTTTAATATGACGTAAAGTTCATTTCAGGGAATTTTTTGTTTTTTTGAAAATTACACAAATGTAATTTATTTGAAAGATCAGACAAGCCATAATACACACATTTCCAGTAATTTGTAAACACTATTGTATATGTGAGTTAATGTGCTTCAAATAATCACTCAAAAATTTTCTGTGTAAAAGAGCTTCAAATTTTGAGCTTACAGTAGAGCTTAAGTACCATTTTTTTAAAAACAGCACCAAATTTTTCAAAGAAAATTGCCATATATGACTACTCTTACTTAATATTATTAAAATAATATTTCTAGGAAACCAAAAAATTAAGAAGATTTCAAAAAAATGTATTTTGAGCGGCGATAGCTTGCCATGACCAAAGGAAATAAAAATACTAATACAGGAAAGTGTGCAATTCTGTAGCACCACTAGTTTATACATTTAATAAATTACTCAGATAAGTTTAATATGCTATTTGGACTGATTTTATATGTAACTTGGAAATTATGTATACATTTATTCAAATGTATGTACAAAACTCCAAAATATGAAAAAATATGCAAAATAAAAGTAGCTTTTTTCAACTCTACCCATTGTGAAACTAAAGATAATGCAAATTAATAACAAAATAGCTTACCCAGAAAATATGTATTTACAAAGAAATCCATCCCTTGATAGTAAGTATAGTAGTATAGGAATGGCATGGAGCATTGCCATGTGCAAGTTCTGTCTATCAAAGTTTAATACACATGCCTTGTAAATCACTGAAACAGCCAGAATCTCAATTCTTTTGATGTTACATTATGCTCATTATTTTAAGTTGTTAACTAAAGAAAATAAGTGCACGAAGAAATGTTTATTTATCTTTAATGGTGTATGGTACATCAGTTTTCATAAAATAATATACACAACTCGTTTTCATATGCAAAATATCTACAGTAATTGTAATAGAAAACATATTTATAAAAGCGGCAGTGATGTATCCAGAGATAGAAGAAATATGAGAAGGTATTTTCAAAACATTTTATTCTATTATCTTGAAATTTATAGTAAATATATGGCCTTGAGCCTACCAAATGAAGCTATGCGATGTCAACAAATTTTCCCAAGTGAGAAAGATGATTGTAGCATAAAATGTAGGCCAATTATGGTCAGTAATTAAGACCTTAAGTGACAAATTGTTTTCATTTTTCAATGATTCTATTTATAGTTCTTCCTAGATACATGACCTACCTCATGGTCTTCTATCATTTCAATCTCTTGTCTAACCTTTTATGACATAAAAGATAGCACAGGTTCTGAGATTTTTGCTTCATATGTAACTGACACAATTTTTCATTACACAGCTTTTTTTTGTAGATATTGCTCAGGTAAATTGATAACAGTGTATTCAATTCAAAAAAGAATCCAGATCGGATTTAATTTGGCTAACAAACAAAATATCCACCTAGTTCTTTTCCTGTTCATGTTATAGTTAATATAAAGGTGGAAGTTTCAATTGAGCATTTATATAAGGAAACAAATAACCAAAGTTTAGTTGAATCAATGTCTTTATTTTGTATTATTAATTGAAAATATATTTCATTTTATAACATCACGAAATGAGTAGAATGGAGTTCTAACGATGAAATTTGCCTGAAATATATGCTTTTGCCATGACTATTGGCAAAAGTTTGTTATGGAACTGATATTAGCCACAATGGTTGTTAGTATGTTAGTCATGATACGATAAAGTATCGGACATTGTTTGTTACTTGATTCATGGAACTATTGACTATTCTGCTCAATTCAAGAAAATAAGCAGTAGTGAAGGACAAATCCAAAGGCTAATGTAATGTTTCTTGAAACTTATCTGTTTGCTTATTATTATTTAATATCTCATAACACTTTGAATTGATTTATTTTTGTCAAAAATCTGTAAAATATGTGTGCCATATGGGAAAGAAATTTTAATTTTGATAGAACTCATTTATTCAACTGAGTGTCTCCTCTAATACATCATAAGTATGCAAACATCACAGCTTTGGATGTAAAGGTTTTTCAAAGAATGATAAATTTGGATACACAACAATACTCATTGAACTTTTTGAACATTCTGTTTCACTTATAATAATTATTTTCAACTTTGATTTACTTGATAAAATGGGAACCAGAAATTCAGACTTTATTTAATTCATCATATGAATGTATTAAATTAATATTCAAAATTATATTTTTGTAAATATTCTACTTCTCTTTAAAATACTTTTCAAAAATATGTAAAATATAAAACTTGTCAGCAAGCCAATCTTGGATTAAAGAGAATTGAATGATGAAATACCATAAAGAAAGAATATATTATTCCCTGAATTCACAGAATTTTCAGTGAATGTTTCATTTGCTGAATTAATTTCATTTTGTCAAATCTTGATCAATAGTTCTCTGAATTTCCCAGATACAGTTTATGTTAAATATTTTGAATTTTAAATGAAATATATACATTTCTTTTCATTACAATAGAATTTTATAATATATTTATTTTTCATTACTTACTTACCTGATCTTATTAACAAACTGATATCAATATTGATAACATTTGTGTAGCCCAGTAAAAATAATATTATTGAAGCCTTGTTGCCATTACAAAATAAAAGTATTGCAAGAACTGAAATTGAGGTTAATCTTACAGAATTTGCATGATAACTTTCCTAGATACAAACAACACAGAGTTGTAAAATCCAATCTGGAAGTGTTTTTTGAATTTTTCACAGAGTGGAGAATTTTCTTGTAAATGTTGAACTAATTTTGTTTCAGTAATTAATAATGGTGGCAAATCATCTGTTTTGTATTATCTTATTTCCATAGATCTTCAACTACAATGTAAAGGTAAAAAGAATTATAAACTTTACATGAATTAACAATATCACAACCCATATAAAAATTTAATAGTACAGTAACTTTGAGGATTATCATTAATTTCAAAAATTAATTATAATAATGTGCAGTTCTTACAAATAATTTTCTATGAAGAATTAGACTCTTCAACAGAGAATAAATAGATACTAGATATACAATATGACACATGTTTTTAATTTTAATAAATGAATTGAAGAAGCCTTTCAGGATGTCATTTATCTTTACTATTTTTTGTGTGAAATCAAGACAATATTTTGTACTTCTGAAAACTATCTATGAGAGTTAGATTTCAGCGACGATACAGTAATTTTTTATATAAATTTGCCCTTGTTACCCTGCAGTATTGTTATTTACTAACTTTAACAAATGTATTTGAAGTAAGTGATAGATACATACCTTGAGTCAATACCAAAAATAGTAGGCACTTAAGTTATTATGAAATGGGCATAACAAAAATCTTTTAAAATATTATTTTTTAATGCTTTACATGATTGTGCGATTTTTCATGAGTAAAAATAATCTAATCACATTACTATCATTTATATTGTATTACTGTAACTTGAACACCTGAAGGAGATTCTAAAATATTAAATTTTTTGTACATTCATAAATTAAAATAATAACAACATGATTTTCTTAACATTAACAAATTTCTGTTGTTTCAATAATTTAAAATTAAAGTTTTGAACTTCTGAGATTAGCATGATGAGATTATAACCAAACCTTTTTTCTTTGGTTTTCTGAATTATCAAAGAGAATTATATTATAAATAAAAAACAAACATTCCTAAGTACACAGATAGTACTAGGGGATTAACTTATATTTTAATTTTGTTCATTGACATCAACTCAATATTGAATGCAATGAGCTTTGGTACTTTACACAAAAATGTTGCAAAGCCTCTCCTCATAACAATGCAAGCATTATATGTATCTCTGACTTAGGCACGTGACGGTAAGAGTAATAGATTCATGAATTTTTTTGATGAAGTATTGGATAAGGAAACGATATTTTCATAGATTTTATTTTATATAATATTAACCATCCACTGAGTAGTATCACATTTATAACTATAAGAATACTTATACTGCATAATAGTATTGCTGTAATCAAGTGCCTACTTTTTGTTGCACAGATTTCTCTAAAATATAGTCACTTGAAAATGGTCCTAAACACTAATGCAAGCATAAATTAGTTGGATAATTCTTTTGAAATGCCCAATTCACATTTAATATTTCAAAAATTACTTTTTTTGGGGGCGGGGTCATTTTAGGGGAATACAATAACTTTTTTAAGTGGTTTTAAAGGAAAATTAAATGACATCCTGAAAAACATTCCTCAAAACGAGCGATTCTTAGTAATTCTACATGTACCCCACTTTCTTTTCCATACCTGTATACACGTATTCACGAAATATTATTTGGTTGCATTTATTAAGAACGGCACAATGAAACGATACACCCAAATTCAGCGAGACCGAAGAGAGCACGAGGCGCACTAGTGAGTCTTGTCGTAGGTGTTCTTGTTGTGGTAGCCGTGCACGTAGCCGGAGGCGTCGTGCAGGTCTTTCCGGCCGGCGATGCCCTTGCCCCTGCCGGCCTCGTCGAAGCGCTGCTTGTGAGCGCCCGTGTAGCGAGACGTGTCCGTCAGCCGGTCGACGGCGGCGCTCGCCTTGGACGCCGCCCCCGCCGCCTGCAACAGCCATCAGGGCAGCTGGCCCCCGCGCCCCGCGCCCCGCGCCCACGCCCACGCCCACGCCCCGGAAATTTCTTTTTTGGGCGTGTGAGGTCACGCCGCCGCCGCCGCCGCCGCCTCCTCCTAGCCCGGAAATGAGCTCCTGGAGAATTAAGGCCAGACCGCGGATGGATGAGGGCGCTAAGTAGTGATATTAAGGGTTCTGAACGCGATCTGCTTCACCGGACTCGGGCAAGCGTTTGGAAACCTCACTGAAAAGAGTGCTAGGAGTCCTAGCGGGAAGAGAAAGAGAGAATGAGATGTGAAACAGATGTCGTTGAGCCAAGAAGTTGACAAGTGCATTGTAGTAATTACAAGTGTACGAACCCCAAAAGCGAATTCGAACCATCAAACATACGAAGTTAAATGCTCTATAAAATATGCATAAATAATAGCTTTATGGATAAGAACAAAAATCATTTAATGAACTGATTTTAGCCATAAGACATTATTAAGAGTTTTATTTATAATAGTGATATTCATAGTGGTATGCTTCTTAACTATCACATCAATTTGGAAAAATTGAGTCTGTTGAATATATTCACATTGAAATGTTAAGAAAAGCGTTTGAAATATTTTTCCTACGAGAATCTGGAATTCACGTCTTGTAACAAGAACGTCAGGATCCAAGTTTTAGTGCATTCGTAACCGCGCTTTTGAGTTATATCTCTGTAATACAAAAATATACCTTATAAAATGTGAGTCAGATCAAAGAAAAATACATCTAGTGTAAGTAACATATAACTATTGAAATTAAACTTCATCTTAGCAAATTTAAGAAACAATGCATTAATACAAGTTACATGCTAAAATGATACCCAGCCCTCTACTTGTAATTGTTAAAAATGAAAAAAATATTTCGAAATTGTTTTTCTGACAACACATTTTCTCACATAAATCTGTTGCTCTTTCCATGAGCGTTTTAAGGCGTTTTATGAGTTACAGCTTTTATGTGTTACATTGTGTCGCAGCTGTGATTGTCAGCGTCCCTCTTAAGTCTAGAAATCCGGAGAAAATACAGAAGTAATCGATATTGCAACCTCGCGTCTTCATGTTGTTCGCGTCCTTGTGTTGCCGCATTAAGAGACGAAAAGAGGGATAAAACAGAACATAACTTCAGAATTTTGCACGTAAAGGAACTATACTTGTCAAGCAATATACTAATTAAAACAGTGCTAATAGTGGTGAATCTAAGCGTGAACCTAAATAATATCAGTGATCGAGCACTATAGATACTAAAGCGTAAAAAAATTGACAATATAATGTAAATATTTCTTAATAAATAAATAAATAAATAAATAAACAAATAAATAAATACATATCACATCGGTTGCACGAACTTTATATCATGGAATTGAAGTAATATTTCTTTTTTACGATAAAAAAGTTTTTTTATCATAAAATTAACCTAAATGTATTAATTCATTTCAAGAGGAAAATTCTAGAAAATAATTATGTTCTGAATTTTTCACTTTCTTTGAAGCTCTATTCCAGGTGATGCAGGCAACAATTGTAAGAAAATCAAAGGGCCATAATATGATTGAGACAAAGCTTAGTCACTCCACAGGTCATGGAATCGTGCTATACATTACATGCCAACAAACATAATGGAAGGAAGCTCAGTAGAAATTAAGCCAAGGTCAAGGAACTTCGCAAAAGCACAATATCAGTTTTTTATAGTGTTAGTCTCTACATAATCGCTGTCTCTTGCAGAACACTTGTTTGTTTAGGTTGTCTTCTCTTTCAACGGCTGCAGGGGTGGTATGCCAGTGCCATCTCCAGTGTGCTACAATGGTTACGCGTGTTATGTTGTGTCATGCAGGGGTAAATGTTATAAACAGTTAGAAAGTGCACACAAAATGAAGTCGTTAAGTTAAGTTAACACTTAGGATAGAAATGAAGATTTCGCGTAATAACTACTAAGAAGACGCATTTAGTCTTGTTTTTATAAGAATATTGAGACTACACTTTGATACGAAAATACTCAACAATAAGCACGACCAGACATTATTATTATTATAATTCATCCACTGTTCTAGCCACACCACGAAGAAGTGCGAGTAAGTGCCAATGGTTAGTACGGTTATGACGAGCGAAGCGATACATAGAAAAGGCTTGGTTCTACTTCGTAGGAAGTAAAGGTGACACAACCGAAACGATCCTCTTCGAGCCTCGAAGGCACGTCAGGTTTCAGCGGTTACTTCTCCGCCTCTTGCTTTTTCTTTTTCCCAGCGCTAGGGCGACCACCGGCCGCGCCACTCACCGAAGCAGTGAGGCCCGGAGCGCCGCACGACGACATTTTCGTTTTGATTTCCTCTACTTCCACTTTCTTATTTTTGGCGAGGTCCTCTATGAACTTCGTGTAATCGTCTACCCCAAGTTTCTGCTGCCTGCGAACAGAAAACAGTGAACCGAATAGATTTTTACGGGAGGAGCAGCATATAGTTTAATTAAGGTTAACAATTGAAATGCATTAATATACAATACTAAAATGTACTGTCTGAAATGTAAATCATTGAAATTGTTGAAATGTAAAATTACTCGAACTACTTCGACTTTTCGAAGACCAAACTATGTAAATAGCACTAAATTTATCAATAATAGCAATAAACGTCTATTTTTAGCAATTTTCATGCAATATTCCCGTTTCTCTCAATCTGATGCAATTCTTCCACATCCATTGTCATTCCTTTGAGTGAAATCATGCAGGAAAACATTTTTCGATTCCTGGAGTGAAATCACACAAGACGTCACTTCACTAGGACATAAAGTAAAAGAAAATCGATCGAAGCTTTGGTCTTGAAATCGATGTAAGAAAAATAGAAATTGACACTGTAAAAATGTCAAATTTTAAAAATCCCAATATCAAATATAAAAAAATGGTAAATATAAAACAGCATATGTAACTGTGTATAATGTGTGTTTATGTGTTCCTGCATAACGTAGGTCACGTGGAGCAATTTCATCTAAATAATGCACGAGTTATTTTGAGTGCAAGAAAAAAAATCTAAGACGGTTCGCGATTCAAAATGTTACCCCTATTTCCCCTAGAAATGTTGTTTGATGCAACCCGCAACGCGTTTACGTATTTATGGATTGCGGAGCAGCAGGTTAGGCAGGGGCGGCGCCAGGCCTGGAGGGCGGACCTATCCCGGTGCGGGGAGGAGTAGGACGATGTGGGTTGGGCGTGCGGGGCTTGGCGGGGAGAGCGGGTTGGGGTAGAACGCGTGGCGGGGAGCGCGTCGGGGCCCTTTTACTCTCTCGCTCTTATAAAGATACTTCGTAAAAAGAGAGTTACGGAATCGTGACCCGGAAAACGGCAAATTTTCAGCAGAAAAATGTATTGCCGGGCCCTGCTTACTATTGCGAACATTACATGTTTGCGAGAAATGATCGGGCAAGGCCGAGTTACTTGTGCTAATTTGTGGATAAAATAGAAAATAATAACTCATTTTCATAGTTACATACAAATGAGAGCGGGTCAGAGACGGATTTCAGCTTAGTTGTTTGCTCAATGATTTATTGTTGAATAGTTTTTGGGACTTTTAGTATTAGAATCTTTCTCAACCGTAAGTGATAGTTTCGTCACTCAACGTTTACAGGATGATTATGAAATAGTTCGTAATGGCATCGTAAATACTCTGGTGTTTTGTTATAGCCAATATTGCCCATGAATACCTTAAAACATTATATTAGCATTTGTTGATGCGAATTGATGCGAAGATCAGTTGTGATTTAGGTGCGACAGTAAATGTTGATTTAGTACTTCAAAAAAATGGACTTCGCCATCTGTCCCCGAGTAAAGTAAAGAAAAATGTCCAAACTTCTTTTGCCTTCTCCACACATAAAAAGTATAACACCAACTTCCAGAAAATGTACATAGTATATTGTTAAATACATCAACTTATACAATACAAAATATATAAAATTCAACTTATAAATTTTCCTTCAATTATTTTGCAATTTATTCTCCTGTTCGCCGTAGCCCCCCTCTCCACCGTTGGATTTTCCGACATTGGCATGCAGCTACCGAAGGAAATCTAATTTCTTATAATATAACCATTGGAAAGCTACCTCCTCTGTATTTATTTTCAATATGTAAAATAATGCTTCAATTTTTTAAAGACAACTTATAATTGTTATGTCCCTGGTTTATTTCAGTCTCTCATTAATTATACAACATTTACTTCCGCCACGTTTCGGAATCTGTTTTTTTTATTCATCATCAGGCTACACTGAATCCCTTAGACAACCAACATGTACATGAACAGTTTATCATTTCTATCGTCCTATACTGAAACCATGCCTATCACCAAATACTACCATAATGCAAAAAAAAAAAAAATCTGAAAAATCCCGCAAAATTTTACTTTCTCTCTACGGAGTAGAGAGAAAATTATGTAGTACTGCGCGAAAAAAGGCAAATTTTAGGTTTTTTTATTACAGAGACTTGGTAACGAAAAAGTGGAGAAATCTAGTTGATAAATTTAGGGGGGGGGAATCCTCTATCACGTGGTGTAGTCCGAATCCATGATTTGTGGGCCCTTGATAGCGAAAAATCGAATGATGGCAAAACGTCTACCTGTCTGTCCGTCTGTGAGCAACGCTAGCGGCTAAACCGTTCAACCGATTTGCTCCAAAATTGATATTTTCCAATCGATCTGACTAATGTCGAATCCCCTTAAATTTGAACACGATATTTTAATTTTGGGTGATACTTTATATGAAGCATTGGGGGGCATTTTTAAAATTAGAAAAAATGGCTCCGTTAATTTTGATTAAATTTTGTTTCAAGATAGTGTAGAGAACGTTTAAGATAATGGTGCAGGTCTCATTTTTGTTAAAACCTCCAATTTTGTGAAAATTTCAAAAATTTAAAACATTCAATTTTTTTGGCAATTACAATCATAATGATAGATTTCCCTCTGAATAAAATGTATTCCTTAAAAGCAGATTTTGTAATATGGTTATGTACAATTTTTCGGAAATTTGAATACTTTTCGTGTAATTTCGAGAAAGTACGTGCTGTTTAGCACTATCAGTTTTCTCTTAAATTTCTCATTTATACCAAGGTACCGTAAACTATATGATGCTAGTTCCATTTCTGATGAATTCACCGTATTTTCCAAAAAATATGCAAAAAGCTAACATTTCAAAACTACAACATTGAAGATGTAGATTTTTGAGACAATTCTTGAAGGTGAGGAATCCTTAAATAATGTTACAGACAGACCATTGTATACATTTTTTTCCTTTATTTTCCGAGTCTCACCGTAATTTGCTACAGTATCGGCGATTAGTTGTCTCCATCATCAGGCTAAAAATGTTTTAAAAAAATACTTTAAATATTAAAAAAAACATTAAAATGTTAGAAAAAATGAAGGAGTATTTGTTGCAACGTATTTATTTGAAACAGACTGTTGAGTGGTAGAAAAAGGGGAGAAGACTGATTGTTTTCAATAACAGTAGACAGATAATTGTATAAAGTTTCTTCCTTTATTTTCTATTATTACATATACTGTTATTGAAAGTGAGAAGTTTTCTAAATTATATATTTTATTACATCGGTTTAAAAATTCCTTTTATATATAAATAATAAAAATTATCTTGATTTTCTGGTTTTACAATTATCAATAAGTCTTCCCTTCTTTTTCTACCATTGAACAATACGTTTCAAATTAATACGTTGCAACCAATACTTCTTCATTTTCTACTTCTAACGTTTTAATAATTAATTTTCAAATATTTTAAGTAATTTTTAAAACATTTTTAGCCTGATTATGGGGAGAACCATACCCGGAAACTGTAGCAAATTATGATGGGACTCTGGGGAAAATAAAGAGGAAAAAATTATACAATTGTCAGTCTATAAATTTATTTGGGGACTCCTCACCTACAAGAATTGTCGCAAAAATCTTAATCTTCAATTTTGTAGTTTTGGAATGTTAACTTTTTGCACCCAGAAAATAAAGGAAAAAATATACAATTGTCAGTATGAAATTTTTGCCTGACACAAAGTCTGTTGTAAAAAATCACTCTTTAAAAAGAGGCCACGTACAATTCTCTGGAGAAACTAATAGTTTTCGAGTAATTTATGATTCGGGTCAATGCAAAAAAGTAACATTTTCTCGAAAGCCGCCCCAAATGTTTTCTTCATTTTCCCCCACTATTCTGTTTTACTAGTGTTTGTCTTAGAAGTTACTTTCAAACCCTTCTGTGGTTGAGGAGTTACTTTAGCGTTATAATATTAACGGTCATCAGTGCACTTTAATTCCATGAAAAATAAAAGAATCCCATTCTTCCAGAGTTTGTAACAATTTGTATCATTATGCACTACATTCGGATAAGAGCACCTCTGTCCCCATCGTTAAGTGGCACTCGTGATTTTTGTACTGGTCTCGAGATAAATTCACTTGCATTAAAACAGATCAAATTCCAATACGTTCCAACAGTTCCAAATTCCAACAGTTAAATGAGTTAGAACATTGCTTATTGCGGACGAAATCTGATTCAGGTGATTTAAACCACAGAACTATACCGTCTTTCAAGTGGCAATATTCGAAACTATTCAAGTAAAGGGAGACAAGCACTCACATTACATCTTCCTCGGACGCGTCGCGGGTATAATGGATATTGAACGATTGAGATATCCCGCAGATTGCTATTGAATTGAAATTGTTTTCAATTTAGCTGGTACGCCATTTAGCATCTATTTCCAAGTCTCTTACCTGTTACTCAAGATCTCCTGGCACTGTCAATTTCTGTTGAAATATTGTCAACAACTACAATCGAGAGATTTATTTTTCGCATTTAAAATAACGTTTGTGTACCTCATATATATATATATATATATATATATATATATATATATATATATATATATATATCAAACGGATATTATTATTTTTGAGAATACTATACAAGAAACCTTAAAAATATTTTCCAAAACCTCAAAAATGGCTCCAAATGTTTGGATTAAACTTTGTCCTAGGATAGCGCAACGAACACTGAAAACAATGCAGCAGGTCATATTTCCGTAGTAATATCTAAATTTTCGAAAAATGCAAAAGTTCAATATGTTTTTCGACATCTTCCTACATCTACAATGTTGAAGACAGAGACTTTTCCCTGATAAAATTTTTTTTTGAGAGAGATATTGAAAATAGATCACGCACAATTTTTTGAAAATATAAATAGTTTTTTACTTATTTATAAACATGAAAGCAGAAGGTGACAAAAATATGTAAAAACCTTGTATTTAGACAATTTCGTATTCACTCCTTTGGGGTACCTACTGAGATTAATATTTTATTAGTTTCACATTACAACCCGCAAATAGAATGAAAAGACCCGAAGATCATGGATAGCTAAGCTATGTACCGGCGGCTAAACGCAACACGGTGAGATGAATGATGTCTAATATAAATGAAATCAAATTAAACACCATTGGAAGACCAAGAATGGCGAAGCATGACATTGATAAACAATTTTGGATAGTAGATGAGGGAATACAGAGTTCGCTTTTGTGAATTATAAATTGCCTGAGAACTGAACTGGATTTGTGTCCTTTTGCAGAAGTTATTATTTTTACTTCCGAATTGCCTAGCTATTAAAATAGATAACTAGCTTCTCAAATTTCAGATTCACAGTTTTATTGGTCAGAGAATGGCAAGAGTACACATTAACAATCCAACGCTATGAAAACGAGGTCGCTATTTCCCGCCACATTCTATTCATCTCGCATCTACTGTGTTTGGGCGACTTTTTTTCAAACCAAACATGAGAACTGATAAAAAACATGACAGAGTAGGTCACCAGGGAAAAAAATGTCTATACGAATAAACAAGCGACCCGAGAAAAAGAACAACAAATAAACATTAAATGGAAAGAGGGTTGGAAAGCAGAAGAATAGAAAGAGAAACGATGGAAATTGAAGAAGTCCCTCCTCTTAGAAGAGAATCCGAAGTCAAAAGCAAAATATGTCTAAACTAGGACGGTAAAAAGCTCTACTGCATTGCAAAAGTGGTAATGAGGATTTTATTTTAGAGTGCTAGAAGTGTGAAATTTGGACATATTAACAAATTTAAACTGCCAGAAATCTACAACGTAACATTTCACGAAACTTATTTGCAAAATTCTGACAGGTTTTTATTCTAAGGAAATGTGAATAATTTGTCAAAGAACGTTACCTCCCTGCTAAAACAGATAGCACGACATTAAAATATATCTATTTTTTTTCCATTTCGAGAGGGGCCCACTACATTTACCCTTGGTTACGTGCCTGAGTTCTTTCTTTGGTGTATCAAGTAAAACGTTACGTTGTATCACCATTAACACAATGTAATTTCTTAACGAAATCCCTGCTTAGTAATCATTTTTGACGCTATTTTCCATTGCCAACCATAAAGTTCCAAAATTTCAAGGAATGAGGAACGAACGTTACACAACAATATGCGAATAACAATGACCTAACATTCTAATGTTTCTCCACTATGAGACATGGCAACACACTAGAATACGTTGCTCGCAATTTGTTTTCCAGTTTCCCAGCTCCTATTTTAACAGCGGATCTCTCCCTACGACCATTGCGTCCTCTCCACCATCCGTTTACATTCTTATTATAGCTGTGATGTTGCGTCATATCTTCTTTGGCTGCGCATGCGAGTACAAACGCTTCGTTGGTCTATCAAGTGGATCCTTACAGTACTTCAATCGAGTCGTACAATACGCATAAGAAATAAAACAGTTTTTATTTACAATGTCAGTTACCTCCTATGTAATGGTTTATAAATGTTTGAGTCATAATAGTGCAAAAAAATTAAATTACAAAAAAATAATAGAACAGTTTGATAAAAAATAGGTACATGAGAAAACATTTGAAATATTAAACTTACCATCGCGATGGACGAACATAGCCAGTGTCCTCTAGGTAATATCTAGACCGTTCTGACTGAACTGCGACCCGTGATCTCATGACGTCTAGAAATAAGCTCATCAAATGTTATTTTCCATTTCTATTCTCTTGTTTCTTTAATATTGTTTGAGCCAAAGCACACATGCTCTTGTGCAAAATAACGGTGTTTCAAAATAGCATTATTTTATGGTACTAACTTAACTGTTACGTAACAATGTAATAATTAAATTGAAAATTACATAATTTATAATAATATGAATTTAAATATTTTCTTGTAAAACTACCTTTACCAGAAAATTGAAATTGAAACACAATACAAATCGTCTTCACAAGAAAATTTGAGCTTAAAAATTTGCCTAAAATTTCACAAACAATAAACAAAATTTATGAACGGAAAATTTAGAGAACATTTCAAATAATAATAATTTACGTTTTGCCACTATAAAATTGATAGCTTTTTACGAGTTTTTTTTCTGTTTGAGCCAAAAATACCCTCAACGTTTTTTCACGTTTCCTTGATTTTTTATACTACTCATTCTTTAATTAAACGGTGCTTTAGAAATAACATTGAAGAGAAATGTCCATTGCAACGTACAAATTTCGGAGAAAAAAATTGAAGCCGTTTTTGTGAAAATTTTGTTGGGAAATTTTTGAAAATGTGATCTTTTTGTTCATCCTAGAAAACTTTTGATATTTCGAGAAATTACACCTCATCGACAAACAGTGTCTGTGAGACTAACTAAGAGGATTCTTTGCTATTATATTCGAATATATAGCATCTGAGTTCAGTTATTTTTAGTGCCTGCATGTCTCAAGAACTTCTAATTAATGTAAATCCGGGAATATTGTACGTCACTTTTTTAAAGTTAAAATAACCTTGCAGTCAGAGCATGTTAACTATCGTGTGTATGAACTGTGGTGTGAATAAAGGTGAGAAATCTCTTATATAATAATAGCAGAAGACAAAGGGCCCGCAGTAACAAAAATGCTGAACAAAACCGCACAAAATGGTTTACCAAAAAGGAGCACCCTTACATGACCAACAAATAAAATTCTCTCGGATAACACTGCAATAAATTAAATACACAAATATATTTGCAACAAAACCAGTCTTCACGAATACTGCAGTAGCATATCATTATATAAAAACAGTACAACGGTCCTTTACATCCCAAGAAAATCTAAAAGTTATTCTTCTTGTGAATAGCAAATATATTTAATGGAACTTTCCTTAGAAACTTGTGTTCCATGACCGTGAGAGCGTGGAGACCGAATTACGTAGAATAACGTAATTAAATATTTACATTTTCAGTTAAATCAAGCTATGTTCTTGAGTTTTTACAGAGTTTTGGGGTACATAACAAAACCAAAGACATCAGTCAAAACGCTGTGGGCGGAATGTTTTCTTTCAATTTCTGCGAGCCTTGACAATTAGTAATATACATTTTTGGGATATTTGCGTGTTCTTTGGAATCAAACGAAATCGTAGATACTGTTCACATGACCGGAGACTCCAAAGGTCTCTTTCAATTTCTGCGAGCATTGGAAAAGTGATTCCAGGTTAGAAAAATATTAATTGTACGTTTCTGAGTGTGTCAACTGCACTGGCCATTTGTCCCGTGGGCGTAGTGAATTTTTAAATCATGGGAGGAGTCGGTCTGGTGAAGATACGGTACGTTTTGGTGAAGATAGGTTGTGCTGGGAAGACGGTTGTGCCGGAAAGCTATTCTACACTAAAACGATTAGAAAACTCACTGGGTCGAGACAGTCTATGACATTCTATAGTACCACTAGATTAGCCGTGTACGTTCTTTTGTTCCCAACTAAAACTGCTCCGCGAGCTCCACAATAAGACTATTAGAGCCTTAACATCTCGCGAATCAGTTTGAAAGCAACTGTAAAAAAGCGAATGCGATCCAGCATCAGCTTCCAATTAAGCAGCGCGAGTGGAGCTTGTTCCTGGCGCAGCTCTCAGCTTTAAGTTGGCCCGTGCAGGGCAGGGCGGAGATATCGACTCGGCCGCAAGAGGGCGGGCGCGCCAGCCGGCGAGCGCGGAGACGCGGGGGGCTAGCTCAGCGCGGCGGCATGAAGTGATTGGAGGTGCGCTACCACGCCATTAAGGAAACACTCTACACCGCATCACGCACTTCATTTGTAGTTGTTACAATAATGGGACTTAAAATAATGTAATTTTGCTACTTCTTTGTTCTTAGAGGAGTTGTAATTATTTGAAATTAACGAAATTTATAAGAGGAACATGTCATGACTGAGTGCAAAATTGAACAAAAATGTTTTAATTTTTTCGTTTAGGTTCAAGTTGGTTATTTACATTAAGTTTTATCTCATAATAATAATTAATGTTATCATTGATATTGTTTCTACAAATATTTATATCTCAGTTAAAACCATCATTTTACGAAGCAAGTAATGATGCTGAGAAAGATTATATATAATTCCATTCACTAAATCACGAAATAAAAACAAAATAAAATAAAACTGTCTGGGTGCAATATGCCCAGAATAAGTCGGAAATAGAGTACTCAAGAGTAAAGTGCGGGGGTGTTTGCTCATAACATCAATCCTCTAGGAAATTTGATTTTCGTGCCAAATTTCTTGTGAGTCATAAACGTACTCATAAACCGCGCATTAAATATGAATACGATCCGTTAATGGAAATGGAATGTCGGACGTAAAAGAAGTTTACTGTAAATCTTTCTGCCAAGCTCAGTTAACGTCGCTCAAAGAAACTCTCTATAAAGCACCTCGATCTAAAAATCCTTTCTGCCCTTCTTAGCATAGCTTTTCCAAACTTAGTTTAGAATACTACGCGAAAACTTTAGATCGGATTTTTATACAATTGTACGAGTGTATTTCTTCTGCTTGGTTATTGAAGTCCAAAGTTTCGTTTTCTATATAAACCGGAGATCTTAGATGATATTGCATATTTCAAGGACTTTCCCAGGCATACAATTTCAAATTTCAAGAATAATATTTCCTTCATTTGGGTTCTTGTTCTATGGGTGAAAATCTGTTAATGGAGAATATCAATTACTAAGATTATCAATTACTTAGACGTCTCTTGAATTAATTTATTTTTTCTACTTTTACCTCCTTGAACACTATACCATGTGTTGCAAAGGAATGATTACTTGTCTAAAATAAACACAGAATTGTGTAATAGTCCAGTCACTTAGTTCTCAATCAGCGTGGTCGCTCCAGGAAAACATTCAGGATTTTTTTTCAACAATTATATACGATTTATGAAGTGCTGAATTCACAAAAACATATAGAAGCATTGTGAAAAAATCCTCAAGATTTTTTCCCTGGGTCAGATATCTCGTGACTGGATGATATGAAGCGTCTAATCACAGTTCTGCTTCCTGTTTAACAGTAAGAGGAGCCCGCTCACATGAAATTCTTAGAACATGAAATTTAAGTAGCTTTAAATTTGCATATATCAGAAATGTGGTCGTGGAATGTTTGTTTTCAGTTTACAAAAACAACCTCATTAATTGCCGTAATAGATTTAACCTAGGAATTCTTGAAATGTATTGTTGGTTGGTATAATTTATTTAAAAAATGTTATAAATATTCATCTTGTTGTATTTTTACATATTTTGTTTTGATAAATAGAGATTTTAGTTCATTAGTTTTCGCAACATCTCACGATATAATTCAATCCAAAAGTAATTTCTCTTTCTTTTTGTAGATATTTGGGTACGATAAAAAAGGGAGATGGGGAGGGGATATTGTGTTTTTACATATTACCCCTAATTTAAATGCAGAATGTTGCATTTTTTATGTTTGTACTGAAATTATTTGCATACTTATTAATGTTTTTCAGCAGAGATTATGACTTATGTTAGCATTTTATACTGCAAAACAATACGATCCCTAGTTATTTCGTATTTTTGTTCATTCTTTTCGGGTAACTCAAGCACATATTAGTAAATGAAAATAATAGTCAAAATTCTGCAAAATTCTCACTAACTGCAACAATTTCATTACACGTAGAATCTTATGATTGCTGATAAGACCAATGTTGGCATACATCATGTGCTGCAGCCTGAGGTTATGGTAAGGCGTGAAGAACACAAGATGTAGCATCCATTCTACTGAAAATGTCTGCTGTAAGTTAAACATTTATGTGTAAATTAGAGAAGATTGGTGATGAGTGTTGAGTTAATCACTGCTGAGATGTCGTAGCTTGGGGGAGCTGCAGGCTCTTAGTTTAATGATCTCGGCGATTAAGGTGATTTTAGCCGCCCTCGTGAATTCTTAGAGGCGGCATAATTATGCATTACATCGTCTCCTTTCCCCTGAAAGGTTCTTTTTGGAACTCCCCCACTCACTTTCGCAGCTCACCCTAAAAGAAAGAAGAAGAGCAACAAGAGCAGAAAGGTCACCTAACGGCACTTACTTGAGCTTCTTAAAGTAGATGCCGGTGTCAGTGGTGGTGATCTTCTTGCCGTCGATCACCTTGGCCTGCTTCATCCACTTGTCGCTCTGCGACAGCGTGATCTGCTTCCCGTCCGACTTGGTGTCGCCGAATTTGGAGAAGGCGCGGAACTGGGCCTTGAAGGAGGGGGTGCCCCCGGGCGTGCCCGGGGTGCTGGGCGTGGCGGGCGACTGCGGGCGGTCGGCGGCCGCCGCCGCCGCCGCCGCTGCCGCCGCGGGCGACTTGCAGTTGGCGGCGGGCGGCGGCGTGGGCGACGCCGCGGGCTTCTCGGGCGCGGGGGAGGGCGCGGGCGACGCCGGCTTCTCGTCGGGGGCGGCGGCCGGGGCCGGGGCCGGGGCCGCAGTCGCTCCCTCTCCGCTCTCAGACATGCTGCAAAGGGGGAAGAGTCAGCGCTTGAACGCGTAATCGCTTTCGCTTACCGCATTAAGGTTTCGGGCTCGGATGAACGGAATCGGAGCTGTTTTTTAATGAAACCATTATCGACTAATCTAAGTCTTGCAGCCCTGCAATTATATTAAATCACAGGAAAATTGTAAAAAAAATTACATTCATCACCATGAGAGATATTTCTTTAAGAACATATAAATATATAACCAATAATACTAAATTTAAAAGCACAAGTACATAATTCAATCAATATTTAAGATAATTTAAGTGTTGCCTAGGCAGAACCAGTTTGTTGTGTCTCTAATGTCAATTATAGTAATTTCTCTCCTGCTGATACAGCTAAACGATCTCATCACGTCTTTACGCTTCACTATATGATGTTTGTTAAAAGACTCAATATTGTATTATTAAAGTAAATATTTGGATTTAGAGAATCATAGTCCAAACATTTTTCAAGAAAACGATTTAACATGTAGTTTTTAAAATGAATTGATTTGGAATCGAATCGAACTGACAGTTCTCTACCTATATCAAATATTTGATTTATGGAGAGAAGAGAGCAACTACGTTTTGTTTATGAAGCCTGACGATGAATAACAAAGCTAACTTAGTATTCCAGCCATTTGGAAATTACAATCAGTGACTTCGCCTGCAAAGCTTGAGAAATTAAGCCATACCCTCAAACATCGGGAATACCTTCTTTGTATATAAACTTTTTTATCCTAATGACGAGAGATACTAATGACAAAGTCCTTCCTTAGAGAGTGAAATAAATTACTAACCGTAATTATTATTTTTCTTTAGTAGCAAAACATTTTTTAAAAAATAGAAGAGAATGATAACGACGTAAACAATTTTTTGTTTGAATTTCACTTTCAATTTCATCGTCTCTGTACTTTAAGAATTACTTTTTGGAATTCTCAAATATTCTCACCTTCGATATATTTTAAAATTGACATATTATCATTTTTATTGGTACTAAATTTTATAGAAACCAAATTCAGACACGAAAATTTTATTACTATCGTTCAATGTTAGTGGACATGTTCGATTTCCCCAATAACAATTAAAATAAGGTAATATTGCTCAATTATTTCCAAATTACTCTATTAGTCTTAAGTTCTCCAGGGAACGACGGAAACGTTCTTGAACACTTATTGAAAAGTGATTGCAGGAATCATATTTTTCGTCATATTAATTGTGGAAAAGAATTCTTTATAAAATAAGGCTGCATAAGAATACAATAGAAATTTAAAAAAATCTGTAAGACGAATCAATAAATTAACTATCTGTTCAAATATACTGATAATTTAATAAAAACGGATAGCTTTCGTTTCTCCCTACGACATACTTCACTTTAAAAAAGCAATCTGCGGGAGTTATGTTACTTCCCCAGACTCAAATGAAGAAATATGGACGTTATGTAAGAACTTTTTACTCCTCCTGGCCATCGGTGGTTGAGTCACTCGGCTGATCCAGAACGCCTTCCGCGGGCAAGTGGAGTAAATAATCGTCCCCAAACCCTCCGCACGACGCATATGGTCGTACGGTCGTTGCGGCCCCAACAACAAAAATGCTCACCATGGCCGTAAGTTTACAGAGAAGTTTTTTGATCGAGTCTGTGTACAGTACGTCTGCAGGCGACACCGCCGTTTCCACTGTGTTGCGAGTTTCACATGGCACTTACGCAACTCATGTTAGTCACCAAGTATGAACTCGAGTTACCGCCTTTTAACACATAGCATCACACCAGTGAAACCAGTAACCCAGAAAACAAAAATCTTCCTGGACTTCCAAAACTACAACCTTTTTTGTGGATTGAAATTTAAAGGTTTCTTTTAGTTTCTTTTTAACAGATTGTCACGACCAGTAATGCATGTAGAAACGTCGTAGAGATGTAAGGTCAAATGATGTTTCCACTGGACAAAATACAAAAGATATGAGCAACCTTCGCCCATTCTTGTAATTCTGTTCTGACCACTACTCTGCCAAAGACTCAAACCGGCCGATTGAACATCCACAAAGAGGGACAATTTATTATTTTCAAGTAGAACAGTTATTAATTGAAATATGCTGATTGAAAATGTCACACTACTCACTACGCTGAGGAACTTGTTAACGAAATATAGCTTCGATTTCTGTTGTATTTTATAACTACTTTCTCTCTGGATTCAAAGTTTTGTTTGCGATCATAACAAATGTTACGCACTCAATGTTACGAATCAAGACTATTAGAAAAATACAATTCTTAAACGCGAAATTTTATTTATGTTCGTGCGGTAAGAGATACACGTGAATAAAGTCCTGTTTTTAAAAAACGTTTTGTAATGCTTCCCTCTTTCTCCACCTACACTGTTGTATTATTCTAATAAAATACATTTTCTCGTCAGTAATCAGTGAGAGCTATTTTAAAATAGAACGACTAGACATCTCTTTTAAAATATGTTAATTCATCAGCTCTATTCGCCCAGAAAATTTTACAAGACATCCAGGATATAGGAAAACAAAATGTAAGCTTTAATCATTTACTGACAAATCATATGGTAGAACCAATTTTGATATAGATATAACTATACTTTTTAAATGTGAAAACTTTATATTCTTTTGAATTGGATGTGCTTGTTTTTTGTACATAAAATAGTAAATATTAAAAAAAATTTTAGACTTCTGGAAGCTGTTTTAGGAGTGGCCAGAAAATTCCTAAGTAATTTCAATGTTTTAGCCCAAAACTTTTGAATGGAATTTTCTTGGTAAAATTAGAAATATGTTTCTTGAAGAGAATAATTTTTGTACAATAATAGTATTGTAAATTACTACGCATATTCGTTATCCCGCAATGTTTTTACCAGCATTTGTTGAGAGGGTATGCTTAATCCTCACGCACGCAGATTGAAGGCAATATGTCTGATCAGTGATCACTGATCAGAACCAAGTCGGGTTATGCAACAAGGGCTAATCTTGCCACGTACTGTTCGAATTCAGTTTGTATATAGCAAACAATAATTCGATCTTTACTCTTAGAGTCCTTAAAATCGCCCAGGAAAAATTACTTTCTGGCAAATCTTGAAGAAAAACAACAACAACATTTCTAATATTCATGTTTAGAAATAATTTGAGTGTGAGACTTAATTGAGTATTTCTCCCTTTGAAGGTTTGCAATTGGTATTTAAGAGTACAACCAAAAAAAACTTTTGGAAAGGAATATGTTTTGTATGCTATTGTTTCATTACGAGGAAAATACTATAATTAAAAAATGTATTTTTGAAAAATGAAAAACTCATTGCATAATGCAAAGAATGTAAACAAAACCTCTAATGGATACATCGATAAATTGCATGCAGTAGTTGTAAGTAGTAGCATCTTAGCACGAAGATCTTTCTTCATTGAAACTCATTACACTTTAATGGTGTCAGTGGCGATGGAGCAGTGTTTGAGTTATTCTTCCCCGGTTTTTAAAACAGTTTGTCTTGCTAAAGAGATTATCAGATGCACTTTCGCTGCCCCTACCACCTCAGCCTCATCCCCTTCAATTTTGTTAAGTGTAGATCTAACGCCAACACTTAAAACTCGCTCCTAACCTATTTTCACCGCTTTCCGTGTTCTCATTAGCATATTCATAAAGCGGTATCGATCGAGGTTCATGGTCCTTGAGGGCGACACCCCGGGGCAAACCTCGAGAAACACTGGACGTGTGTTTGAGCTTGCAAAGACGACGAACGCGTTTCTTGAAAGAATTAGATGCGTTTGCTTTCTATTAAACTTGGATAAAAAGTAGTAAGCGGTAGGATTACCATTTGCCCAATGTGCATTATTTGAATTATCATACGACCACGACGTTTCGTTCCATTCTCTCTCTCTCTCTCTCTCTCTCTCTCTCTCTCTCTCTCTCTCTCTCTCTCTTCTCTCTCTCTCTCTATCTCTCTCTATCTCTCTCTTTATCTCTCTTTCTCTCTCTCTCTCACACACACAGCCTCTCACACATTAACACACACATCCAGAACAGCGTGAATGGATGTCTTCATCAAAAGCCAACGAGAAAATAGTTTGGTCAAACTATAAATCTTCTCTGAATGTTCTCTTCTTTCCGTTTCCGAAAGAAACGATTTCCAAAGTCCATGAGCGGACGGAAGAAATGGAAGTATTTCACGCTAAGTCAAGAATTGTAACATAGAACGACTAGACAGCTCTTTTAAAATATGTTCTTTCATCAGCTCTATTCGCCCAGAAAATTTTACAAGACATCCAGGATATAGGAAAACAAAATGTAAGCTTTAATCATTTACTGAAGAAGAATTTATGTTGAAAGTGGCGAGGCTGAAAGTTGGTTCAAGCAGGAATTTGACTGCGGTCAACTCGATTGATTAGTGATTCTGGGGGCGTCAACTGCTTCGGTCATTCGGTTCCGTAAGTGTAGTGGAGGTATGGTGATCTTTCCCCACTGGATGGCGAGATCCGGCGTCGACCTACCATCGGCATGCATGTTCTCCCTCACCAGGTATCTCCCACCAGCGGGTCACCGCCCAAGAGGGACAAGCTCTAAGCTCCTGTATGGTCTCCCGACATATGTGATAGTGTAATGCATGTAAGTGTGCGTGGAAGTAAGAGGTGAGGATAAGTCAAGGAAGAGTTAGGATAGGTCATGCGTGGTCTGTGGACCGTTTGTTAGGGTAAAGCTCTAGCATTCGCCTGGTGTTGATGGGAAAAAAACACGGAAAACTAATCAGGGTAGCTAGCCGCTAGAATTCTCCTGGCAGCGGCAGAATTCGACCTATCTATATAGCTTGTGTCAAAAAACCTTCCACCTTAGTACCTCACGGTCAGAGTCACCACAATGATGCAGTCAACTCGAGTTACTGCGAAGTTTTACGCGAGTACACGAGTTTTTGCGAGTACTTAATACATAAGCTGCAAGTCCCCGCGATAAGCAACCAATGTATTCATTGTCTGTGAAGGGCCTGATGTCTGTTTCCGTATTCGAAAATATCTCAACCAAGAGAAATGTGCTTAGCGCTTAGAAATGAGTTAGTTTTTGATTCGGAGCTCGTCAACTACGTAGGTAAGTATAATGTTAACTTCCGGGATGTGGCGGACCTACTTCTCTGGAACTTGAGTTGTGGTACCAACACTCGTCTACCTCCAGGTATCTCCCCCCCCCCAGACAACATAAGCTCCCGTCTGGTCTTCCGATATGTGTGACAGGGAAGAGCAAGAAAGAGTGTGTGTGTAAGTAAGAAGTGAGAATGACAATGAAGAGGAAGGAAAGAGCACGCGCGGACCGTGGCCCATTTGTTAGGGTACTGCTCCGGCATTCGCCTGGAATTGATCGGAGAAAATAAGGAAAAATACCGATAGAGCAACCGGCCGCTAGAATTCTCCTCCTAAGAGTAGCTGAATTTGATCTTGCCATGTATACCGATAATCCTTCACCGTCGAGACTCGAATTCGAAAACCTCAAAGATTACAGAGGAAGAGATGTTGCATCTACGGTGTTGCAGCTAGTCATCTGCATCGAGAATTTGAAGGAAGTATGAGTTCATAAACTTCTTCGGCCGGAGTCAATGCATTCTTGGCTATCCGGGATGAGCCGCGTCTCGGTCAATTGTACTGACGTTTCGGCCATCTTGCTGTGGCTTTCTTCAGAGCTATACTGCGCGAGCTATACTTCAGCAGTATAGCTCTGAAGAAGGCCACAGCAAGATGGCCGAAACGTCAGTACAATTGACCGAGACGCGGCACATCCCGGATAGCCAAGAATGAATTGAAGGAAGTAGCATTCGTGTAAAGTCGGCTGAGCGGGGGATAACGTATCAGAGCCAGCCCACAACACACTTCATCCCTGGCGCGAGTACTGCTCTGCGGGCGGTCGTAGACCTTTCGGGGTTCAATGGGCCTCGCTGGTCGATCGGTGGAGCCCGCGGGGTCGTGCGCTCATCGGATTCTCCCCGCGTTGCCTCGGAATGCGTCGCCGGGAACAATGCTCGTCGAGAAGACACCGGTTTGCGCGTCAGCAAACTGAAAGGGCGAACATTTGCCAGAGGAACTTCTGTAACGGACCTACCTTTTTAGGCAGAATTGCCAACAAATGGAAACAAAAAGTCGACGTTATTTGTACTTAAAATTGAGCAGACATTCAATAAAATCCCAAGTATATTTTTAAATGACCCTGGAAAAGACTCCAAGCACGAGTAGAAATGTAGATATCATGAACTGTAGATAAGAATGATATTTTATATTTAATATAGAGCTCTAAATAAGTAAAGTGTTCAAATTTGTTTTATTGAATGTCTGCTCAATTTCAATCGTCAATCATTAGAGTAGATTGTTACTCAGACAAAATTTGGAAAAAGTCTAGAAAAATTACAATAAGTGCTTAATATAAAAATCAAGAACACTGTTTTTTTCAGATTTAATAAATGGTTTAAATTACAAGTCAGAGAAGCAATTATTTCTACAAGAGAAACTTTTCGAAGATTGAATGTTGAAAATGAAGTGCAAAATTCGTTGACGACATTGTTCTTTCTTTATTAAATGTTGTTTAATGTAATGGACAAGAACTTGAGCCACACATTTAAATCTGTGATAGCAGAGTTCAATCTACTTAAGTACACGATTCGTTACGTCTTGCGTCTAATGTAACATACATTTTGATGAAGATGTATATGCCCCAGTAATAAGCATTCATATCATTTTCAACTGAACGAAAATACTGATAAATCAAATGTTGGTAGTCTCATCGATCGCAAAACATTTCTTTTAAACGAAATAGCCTTTCATATAGAGGACTTGTTGCCGAAATAGTTTGGTTTCGTACCTAGGCAAGTGAGTACACTCACGCAAGATTTGAGTGTTGACAATAAGTCATAAACGCACCTGTAACCACTATTTGACTAATGTATGTAACCAGTAAAGAAAACCAATAAATAAATCACCAACATGTTAAACAACAAAGAGGATATTAAAATAAGTCTAGGATGCAAAATCGTGAAAGTAATGACATCAATATGTAAATTCAAACTCACAAAATTTAATTAATCTAAATAATGAAAAATTTGATGAATTAAAGTAAAAATAATAAATAACACAAAATATATTTTAAAAGTGTGATTAAATACATTGGTAATTTGATTGTGTGTTTTTTACCCGTAATGTATTAATATTCCGATCACACTCTTTTGCGATTATAACTCGACATTATGAAACTAAATTCGCGCAGAAAAAGTAATCACATACACAATTATATCAAAGCAATAATATAATTTTTAAATTATCTTAATGTATAATATCTGTTGTTAACCTAGAAATAATTAAATTTAAACAAAATAATTCATTTGGCCACAGCTTCAGAATTCACTGTCTCCTTTAAAATAATTTTATAACAATTCAAGTTACGTACGTGCTCATAGACAACACTGGTCAAGGGCGCGACCACTGATTTACACTTGCGCTCTCTACCCACCGCTCCATAAAACAGCCGGGGGCGATTTGGAATGACGCCGCACGTTCTCTCCAATGTGTTACATCTGCGTCTATTTTTGTCGTATTTCCGAGTGCCTTCGCATCGTTTAAAGAGGAAATATCACAAAACTACCCACTATCGAAATGGAAATGAAACATGCCCGCAACCATAGTTTCTTAAAGGAAAAGTTGTGGAATACGAGAAGACGATCGAGTGCGGCTCTGCCGTCTTCTCGAATTTCTCGCCTGCGATTCGATTTCCGATGTTCTCCGGCACCTGTTGCAGGCGCAACGAAGAGGCTCACCTCCACAGTTGGCTGCCTCAAAGACCTAAAAATACGCGACTTCTCCGTTCGAAGTTTCCGCGATAACTTTCCTACGTGATCTTACTGTTCTCTCTCGGCACGACGCTCCGCGGAGGCGTGAACAGGTGTCGCGATAACAGGATCCTATCACCTCGCTATCAGAGGCTTTTCGGAAACTGCGAAGGTGTGGCCTACTTTAATAGTTTTGACAGTTCCATGGTGTGCAGTCTTCATTTTTCAGCATACCCCTGCTGCACTTGATAATTAAATATCCATGTTGAAAACACATGACCTAAATTTAAAACAAAAATCATATTTTCCTGTCGTAATATTACCTTTATACCAACCTAAATAGAGCAGGTTGCTCTTTGTTATGGATCAGAATTAATTATTCACTATACGATTCCGGCGTGGAAGGCAAAAGCAAGTCTCAATGTATCCTATATAAATTCTGGATCGTCATTCATCATGTGAAGTTTGTCAAGGGAAGCCATGTATTGTCTGCATCTAACAGACAACATCCCGTCGGAGATATGATACTGAAAGATTTACGTTTCAACACATGTCCCAGGAGCCATGCATGACATATAAGTAGATTGCTCCGTTTTTGAAACAGCTTCCTTTCTCAACCATTTTTTGTGTTGGGTCTAGTGTAAAATTTTCAGTAAGTTCTTTCTTAAGTCTAATCAATAAGTCATGAACAATAAAAAATGCAGATATCAATCGCTCTTTTGGAGAAAACGTTCGATCAAGGGGACGCTTCATAAAATTATAATTATTTGTCTCATTTATTTAAGAGAGTACCACAAGCAGAATACTAATTTATTTTTCTTCTAAGAATATTGAAAAGTATTACTATTCAATAAACTTTATTACAGTATTTCTTAAGAGGCTGAGCTACCTAGTACAGAATTGTTGTATAAAACCAAGCAGTAGTTAGAAAATATTTATAATACGTCTTTGAAACACTTTCCCGATTTGGAAGAGGTAGTTTCGAGGGTATTTGCTAAAATAATCCTTATCCAGAAAATTATAATTCTCTAAAACTATATATATAAATTACTTTTAATCAAATAGTATCAAAGCAATTGACATTGACCAATTAAATTAATCTTGTGTACGAGCAAAGGAAAAAGAAAATAATTTTTATCGTCCTAAGATAACTTACCCAAATTGTTTCTCAGGCAGCTATAGCCTCTAAAATGTCTGCCGAAGAAGTATATGCAAAGGCAAGGTTACTCGGAAATGTATGCTTTAAAAAAAATGTATGCCTGCCAGGCGAGACTTCTCTCCTCCTCTGACACTCGTGAAAGCCAGCCCTTTCCCCTGGACCGACGAGCCGAGCTTGCTATTCCAGAAGGCAGAGGCGCGGCTCTTACAGCACACAGTTAGGTCACATCTTGATTTACCTTATGTCGTCACCACCCACGTCACGGACGCAGGAATGAGCTTTGCACGTCCAGCGGGAATGCAGGGCGAGCAAGCGACTGTACCTGGACTCAGGCGCTTCGTGAATGAGTAACCTTCGTTACCGGAAATGCATTCCTTATCCTCGAAAATATCGCTTCTATCAACTGCATCAACTGATTTTATACCCACAAATAATCTCAGATAGTTCTTGTGATCCCATCGGGTGATTGATTAGATATACGTAGTTTTCGCTCTAAACAGTCCACAGGCTACAAATGCTTTCTTAATCTGGGTTAATTTGTCATGTAAAGATCATTTCTATATATAGAGATTTACTCATGTTACGTTACTGAAAAATATGTAAAGTTGCGTAACGATGCTTACTATCTCTGCAAGTTTGCGTAGTCGATTTACGTGTCTTGTTTTGTTAGAAATGTGCAGAACACTACAGTTGTGTCTGTAACGTGCGAAGTTTAAATCAGTCGAGTTCTTGGGCCACACTAAATGTTATTCATATTTGAATAATAAATAATTATATAGATATAATGCACGAAAGTATACCGTGAAGCAATGACCTTTTATCACTTGATCTTTTAACAAGGGCTAGTATTGACAAAGGGAGGGTCGATTCTGAGAATGCTGGTTCTCGTACTCGAACAAGGCTTTCGTTATTGAACTTCAGACTTATACAAATAATTTTATAATTACTTATACACATTGACTCGATCTCGACTCATAAAAATAATTTTACAATTATCTCAATACAAAAACATATACATATATAATTGATATCATTGCTTACATACGTATAAGACGTGAAGATACATTTCATTCAAGCAGTACACGATTGTTAAATATTTATCTCAATGTTCTTAACGGACTGGAGAATTTGTGATTTATTGAAAGGGAAATTGATATTGGTTTTGGATCGACCGCCCATATTTGTTCCAATTGATAAACATACCCTCATAACCACGGGGGCTCTGAAACCCAATAACCAGGATGAGTGCATATTCAAACGCGGTCCAGTGCAAGAAGAGACAACGAAAGCGCCGAGGACGCCAACCATTGAGCGATGTGGCGCCTGGCTAATAAGTGCGTTTCGCTTTGGACGCGCGCCCGCAGCGCCCCGCGGCGCCACACAAGGGGATGGCCGGCGCGCATTGATCGGCGTTGGCCCTGCGCGGGCGCCAAAGGGCGGCTGAGAGCGCGCCCTCCGCCCCCGCGCCCCCGGAGCACAAAGGCGCCGCAAGTCGGCGCTTACCTGGCTGGCAAGAGGCGCTGTCGCGGCCTGGAGGCGTCCGCTGCTCGGGCCAAACAAACACTGGCGGCGGCGTGAGAGCGCGCGGGCGGGCGAACGCGGCGGGCGAGGAGACGTGCTCAGCGTCCGCAAGGTGCCATCGCCGGGCGAGGCTCGCAGCGCTGGAAGCGGGGGCGGCGGCGGGGGCGGGAGAGGCGCTGGCGTCTGGAGACTGACTGACTGCTGCTGCTGCGCCCAGCGCGCTCCGCCTGCCTTCGCCCAGACGACTCTCCGTTCGCAGAATCGCCGCCGCTGCCGCCGCCGCGGAGTACGATGAGGAGGGGGGAGGGGGAGGAGGGGGCGCTCGTGCGCAGGCGTGTGGGGCACGCGGGGGCGTGTGGGGCGCTGCGCCCGGGGCGACGCGAGGCGACGCGCTGCGCAGGGCCCGCCCGGGCCGCGCAGGAGACATCACGACTCGGCCTCGGACACCACTGCAAAGAGCATCCGCGCTTTGGATTTGAAAAGACGACTCCTGGTCTTGCACCATTCAGTATACTTATTTTTTGATTATTGGATAATTTCCCAGCCGTTTCAAAACCATTAGTACAAAACGTTTTGCATTTTTTCGTGTTTTTTTTCCCGTCTTAACTATTTGTCATTTACGAACTTAATAAGTAAAGAGAAATTATCGTAATTCTGCAGCGACTTTCGTCAAACTCGTATTGTTGAGTCCTGATATCGAATATAGGGAAACATTTTGTTTCTTTCTATAGAATATTTCTATCTGTAATACGTGGTGTAGTCAGAATCCACGTTTTGTGGTTCTTGATACTGAAAAATTGGCTTACGTCTGCAAATGACAAATCGTCTGTTTTGACCGTCCGTCTCTCCGTGTGACTGTCCGCCCGTGGGCAAAACGCCATGGCCTAAACGTTCAGACTACTGTCTCCAAAATTGATATTCCCCGATAGATCTGGCCAGGACGAAATGAAAAGGATATTTTACTTTAGGGTGATGCTTCCCATAAAGAATTAAAAATCTTTTCATTTTTTTCTCAAAAATAGCTCCAGTTTTTTTCTTCTCTCGAATAGAATAAAGGTTGCTTCAAAAAAAGTAGCACATCTTGTTTTCGTTGAACTCTCTGAATTTCGAAAATTGCAAGTCTTCAAACTATTTGGGCGTCTTTCTTTCATTTTATTAAGGAAGAAATCTCTAAAATAAACATTTTTTTTCCTTAACGAAATCAATTCTTCAATGATAGATGTAGAAATAATGTCATGTACAAGTTTTCGAAATTACGAGTAGTCTCCGCGTATCTTAGCGAGAAATACAATTTTAAAAACAAGATTTTCTCAAAAACGATTCCAATTTTTTCTTTATGATCTTATGATTTCCGATGATCTCACTTTATTTTGGAAACTTTCAATAATATACATTTGAAAAATTACAATATTTACCATATAGTTTTTTTCAATAAAATATGTACGAAAAAATTGATAATTAACTAAGGCCATACACATGTTTTTTAATTGAGAATTTTTCGTGTAACTTGTAAAGTAAAAGGAATGTAATTTAATTTCTCAAAAACGGTGTTACATTTTTCTTTTTTTTCCTCGGAAATAGTAAAGGACGCTGAAAAATCCCGAAGATCTAATTTTCGTTCGATTCGCTGAATTTTCGAAAATTGCAAAAGTTATAAATCATATGAGAATGAAACTGCAGCTATAGCATTACTAGAGGTAATAATCTATGCTTATCTTAGAAACAATTTAAAGGATATTTAAGTGTGGGGGAAGGAAATGTTTGAAATTTAACAGTTGACTGGATACTATGGTAAGCAGCCTTACTAACTTCAGTAACATGAAGGTGACCCTCACCGAAAGGGGCAAATTAATAAATCTCAGTAATTATTCTTTAACAGTTTATTTGTCTGTTTATTTCTGTCATTTCTGTAATAACATTTTATTTAATGTATACTCGTATGTGCGTATTTATGGTGACCGCAAATAATCGATCTTGAGATTTTAATTGAAATGTACGTTTGGGGCCCCTTGATACCCCAAAAATGTTTTTCTACAACTTCTTTCCGTTGATGAACAACCCAGAAAACATAGCACATAAACCAATAATAAGATTTTAATGCACATGTAAAACGCTTACAAATAGTACGGACAAGTAATTCGGTGTCATTAAACAGGAGCTTCGGACATGCGAACTCAAGTACGTGAACTCTAAGGCCGAGTGTTGGAAATCTGCGTGAACATGAAGTTTTAAGATGTGTTCGTTGTGTGAAGGACATTCGGAGTCCTTCTGTATTATATTTACGCCCTAAACGACTTGATAAACATTACACAGACAAAGAATATGAACAAAAGTTTAGAAAAAATGTTTTATTAGGTTTGTTTCATTATTTTTTGTACTATTAAATTTTTCATTTTTTTAGAAATATAACCAAATTGTATGAGAAGTTATGTAAGAAACCAATTACTGACTTCGTTTTTATTTTATGTAATCAAAAGAATCTTCATTTTATCGGTCATACATTCGGCTACCGACCCCCAAAACACCCCTTGATCATCATTCACTCCCTTTAAAATTGTATCGACCCTCAGGAGGTCGATACCGTCCCTATTGGGAAAGACTGCCCTAAACCTTCCATAATCTCTTGTTTTGTGAGGAAATTGTGTATGAGAAGTATAATTGGAAAACAATGGGGAGCTCTAAAACCAAAACAATGCACCCAATACAAGCACCGAGATGCATCTAAGGGATTCCTTGAGTAGAAGTGTAAGAGCACAAGGCCGAGATAAGTCTATGCGACGTTCGTTTTTTTTCATTTCTTTAAACGTTTTGTTGGAGTTACAATGTTCAGTTTCCAAGTAAAACTTTGCAATTGTGATGACTTATCTGGACCAAAGTCGCCAAATCCAATTTCAACAAATTGCAAATATTTCAAAACAAATATTTAAGATGAATAACAAGAGCACAATGGTTCATTAGCAATAAACAATTACATCACGATCTAAACATAAAAGAAATAGAACACCAAATAGCATTCCTATCAAACAAATTTAAACAATCTTATCTAGGTTTAAATTGTACGTATTTAACTAATCTTTATACATATATATATATATATATATATATATATATATATATATATATAGAGAGAGAGAGAGAGAGAGAGAGAGAGAGAGAGAGAGAGAGAGAAGACAAGAATCATCTCAGAAGAATTATTCAAAATTTGCAAATATCTGGTGGAAATAACGGAGCGGGAATCTGTTCTTAATTTTGGCTTGTATCTGGGGTCATTTCCAAGTCTGTAGTGAGTTTATGCCTGTATGAAGATTAAGTTTGTTTAAATTCGGGTAAATCTTCTTCCTGTATGTCGTAACTTTCTTCCTCTAATACGTTGTGTAGTCAGATTCCGTACTGGATACCGTGCTTCAACGACTCTTTCTTTCTCGCATTACTTTGACGTTTGCAATTTTCGAAAATTCAGAAAGTTTAACAACAATGATACTTCTTTTAAACGTTCCTTCTTCTATTCGTGATAAAAAACGAAGAAAAAACTTGAACATGTTTTTTGAGGAAATGTTGTTTTTATTATTCGCATGAACTTCAAGCAGAAATTTCCCCAAATCTACTTTTTTTTCAAGTGAACATGACTTTTCTTAGAAATCTGATTTTTTTGGAACAGATTTTGCTAAAGACAAAAGTCTTCAATATTGTACATTTTGAAAAGTGTTTGAAGCTTCGTGTAAAGTACCCTGAATCGCTTCGTCCCCAAAAAACAAAATGTGAGTTTCAAGCTCACGAGGGTTCGAGTTCATCCAGATCGATAAGGTTTGTAATATCAATTTTGGAAAAAATTGTCCCAACGGTTTGGGCACTATCGTTGACTCTAGATAAAACGACAGACTTTTTGAAGCTAGGAAACATTTTTCCATTATTACGAGCCTCACGATGCGTGTTTCCGTTAAAATCTCGACATCCATTTTTCGCAATATTACGTGACTTTCTCTTTACTACATAATACGTATTATATATGTACGTTTAGGAAAAATTAAAAATAAATCATTGTAATGTGTGTAATTTTATAAATAATGGACAATTATTCTCGGGGAAAGTCGTTATTTCAGTCAGCTTTTACATTTTCCAATGCCACGAATGAGACGATTCGTGCAAGTTGTTGCCTGGCGCATCCCGTGTAGGCAGCGCGCGGGGTGGCAAGTGTCAGTGGCTCCCCCCTGGATCGTCTCGGCTCATACATTTTCCCCAACTTCGGACCTAATGGTGACGTCATGATGATTCACATTGGTCACAAAACGTATTGCCAGAATGTTTTATAAACTACATTTATCTCGATACTTAAAAATCCTCAATAAACATGAAAAACTAGTGGTGGAACACAATGGCACAGGCTTTCTCGCGCTAATTTCCCTACGCCTTTCTCGTGCTTATTTCCCTATGCATTTCGGTGTCTAAATGATATTGAGACCCTGTCCCAGTAGATTTCGCGCGAGGAACCTGTGCACTCTGCTGATGTCACAAAGGAGGGAGACAGCACCACTGTATGCCGTCTAAAAAACATCGACTTCCTAGCTTTCTAACAGGCAGCCTCGGCACAAAGAAACTTACTATCACATTTGTAAAAGAAGGCTCACAAGAAAGTCAAAAATTACTAACGCAGCCAAAACAAATTTGTGGACTATGACAATCCCTAGCTCTTATTAGCATACCCGATGTTTTCTGAAAAGCTATAGCATACCTAATGCGCATGCCAGTGTGTCTTAAACAGTCGTCGCCATAATGATATCTCGCGAGAACTGTACCTACTGCTCCACTGGGGTGTGCGAAGCAGCACTTCCGCTCACCACAATATCACATAGACCTATCTCAGTCCTTTACTTTTACAGAATATTCCTTGGCTCCATCTCTTTGCTTCAACCATTGTTCTCGGTGTGGAATCAAGTTCCTTAATTAAACACTCAGACTGCACGCAGTAGACGTCAGACCAAGATATTACGAAAATATTATGTTCATTTTTCATTTTATACGTAGTTCAAATATGAATAGTATATTCATTATAAAAATATTAATGGAACATAATTTTAAAAGGAAAACAACATTAATTTTCAGCATACTCTACTTTTAATTCAATGTACTTTTGCCATCCTCTTGGGAGTCGGAATAAAACGATTTCGATCGTGGGCGCAGCCCATTTTGAACAAAATTTTGAACTTCCTCTTTGCCTTCAAACTTGTCGCCGCCTAGAGCTTGTTGAAGTTGTCTAAAAACTTAAAAATAGCTGGGCGATAAGCCTAGACTACACGATGGGTGGGCAAGTATTTCCCCCTACATTTATGTCAAGAGTTTGTTGAGTCAATGATAACAATAATAATAATGCTAATATTGTTATTATCATTATTATTATTTTTATCATTATTAATGTTAGTATTATTATTA